AGCAAAAAGTACTTTTTGTTTTACTCCATATGAGTTTCAATCACTCATTGCCACTGTTATAATATTATGTCTTACTTAGGTTACTCAGCATGACGTCATCAATTCTTTCTCCTTGACTGACTCCAATGGACTTCACTTACTCTGGGTTCTTTATTTAAGGTGCCTTTCATTGGTGTTACCAGGAGTATCTTATTCACTCCACAACAGTAATGGCAGCAAATCAGCATGCATCTATTTATTTACAATTAGGTCATGTGACACATATGGCCTCTTAGCCTTTCAAGTTGTTGTTCATAAAAAGTTTGAATGTAGTGTAGTAAATATATATGGTATTATGCATATTTAAATTTATTTAATAATGTATTATAAATATATATTATTTTTCACCACATAATAGTTGGAACATAATATACAAGTGATTGTTTAGATGTACAGATATAAGAATGTGTATCAAAAACAAATATTAAATTTTCTATTAGAAATGCCATAAAAACAGAAAAACGGTGAAATTTGGCACTGCACTTGTCAGGGGTTTGAGGTACAATACTCTCCTAAACTTGGTTGGGGTATTATGATGATAGAGCATTTACAGATACAGACAATACAGACATAAGAATCAATACTGCATAGTGACTGTCAGTTTCATACTTCAATGGTCAAGAGATTGCACTGGATTATAAAATTGGCAATCATCATGTAATGTTGATTCCTATATTTGCACATATACAATATATAACTTTAAGTTTGTTTTGCAGCAAGTATTACTGATTTTGCTCATGTGTAATAAGAAGTATTGCAAATAAATATATTTATGAACTTATTTAGTCAACATAAATCAATACATGTACATGCACACATAAAAATGATAAATAAAATAGAAAATTTTAAAAGTCAAATAATCAAATAAAATAAAAACATGAAAATATAAGAATTAGAAGAGCCTTAAGAAAATGGTTGCTTCTTTTTCATATAAAATTAAGGAATTTCTTTTTTCCCCACCTTTTCATAGAGATAGAATGGATGTGAATTTTATAACAGAGTCCATTAACCCAGTTTTTAAAAGTTAGGACCAGAGGTCTTTTTTCAGTGTGTGTGTTCAACTTTAACCTTTGGATAAATTTTTGTTTGGTAGCTCTTCAGTATATTTCACATGTCAATCAAATGTGGAAAACCAAAAAAAAAAAAAAAAAAAAAAAAAAAAAAAGATTGGAGACAGTCAATCAACAATTGAGTCACATTTATTTCAGGTTCTGCCCTAATTATTTGTTTTTGTAGGAAAAAGAGAAAAAAAAAAAAATAAAGGTCTTAAGATTTCAACAATCAAATTATAAGAAAATGGATCAGTTATGAAAGTTTTTTTTTCTTAAATAAAGTGATTTTCTTTCTTTTATCAGTTTTCTAGAAAAAAATAATTTTAACAATAACAATTACTGTTTTACCAAAAACATTAACAGTCAATGAGGGTATTTGGGGAAGATAACAATTTTAAGGCAAGCCGTCTTTGTAATTAAAGTGCTCAATATTAAGAGCGCATTAAATTCAATGTTCATTTATCTTGACCCTACTCAATGTTTTGTAGATTACATCCACTTGTCAGGCGACTTTATTGTAAAAATGAATTTATTACCAGAAATATTTTTTGTTAAAATGTTAATGAATTTTCCTTAAAAGACATTAATTTATCAGAAACCTATTTGAATTTGTCCTGCCGTAAGACAATATTGCATGAGGTAAACTTATTTGAAATTATTCGGTTATTGGTACTAGATGCTTTTTTTTTTATCAATGTGATTTGATTTGCTCAGATACCCAGCCCAAATTACAGTTACATTAAACAAACCATGAATTTAAATATTACAATAACAGAAATCCTTAAATATTTAAAAATGTTAAATATATTTAATAAGTTATTTATACTTCGAACCTTTCACTAGAATAAACAATTTACTTAGAAAATCTTTTACACACATCATGCCAACTCAAAACAGAAATACTTGGCACCACATATAATTCAAACTAACTTCAAATTATATGTAAAAAATGATCTCAAATATACAACCAAACAATTTCAGATAAGTTTACATCATACAATATCTTTTAAGGAAACCTTTAACAAATAGAGAAGTCAAATATATATAATAATCTATAAATAGAACACTTCACTAGATTAACAATTTAGAAAAACTTTTAGACGTAGAAATGGAAATACACACAATTCAAATAAAAATTTGCATAAAAAATATATAATACAGATAATCTAACAATTTTGATTAAGTTTATGTCATACAATATCTTTAAAGGAAAATTGATTAACATCTTAAGAAAAAAAGTGGGGTTTTTCAAAATTAATTCAGTTTTACAATCAAGTAAATTGATGAGCAAATGTAATTTCTGCAAAGTAGAGACAAGTGAACGTTTAATTTTATTTATTAGCAAGAAATGGTTTTATCTTGACAAGTATATTCATCATCTCAAATTGGAGATGTCAGCATCAAGAAGGTGCTGAAGTTTAAAAGCAAAGGAAATGTATTAACAGTGGATGGAAAATTTGACACTGAAATCCAAATGCCCATTGAACGAGTGAAAGAAGGATTTCAAAAGCTAAGCAAGGTGCTGAGAAACAAAGATTTTGTTAAAGCAAAGAAAAGATTGCTATGTGTTAATCATCCTCTTAGATGACAGTAAATGTTGGACAATTTCCTCATACATGAGGAGAAAACTAGAGGCAGCAGAAATGTGGTTCTGCAGGAGGATACTGAGAATTCAGTGAATAGAGAGAGTAAGCAACAAGGAAGTCTTAAAGAAAATGCCAACAGAAAGAACACTTAGAATCAGAAAAAGACTTCTGAAATTCTTTGGCCACATAATGAAAGAGGGCTTGCAAAACTTAACCCTTACAGGGCAAGAGTGATAGAGAAAGACAACAAGGGTGGCTTAGCAAAGGGTGATGAATTGCTAAGAGCCACAAGAGAAAAAAAGTTGTGGAGAGCCACGATCACATATATGCTGAAGAGATGTGGCACAGAAGAAGAAATTCATCTTATTAAGAAGGAAGTGGATGTTTTGCAACTGCATACATCACTTTTATAATAATACCTTTGATAAAAAGCATGAATCCAACGTCCCTAACACTGCCTTATTGCCATCCATCTTGACCATGAACCATCACTTGCACAACATGATAGTTATTCAATGAGTTATTCTGTTACTATTTATATTGGTTACTATTTATTTGCATTATCAGCCTCAGCAAACAGCAACCATATTTTCAAAGTCACACTTTTACAGAGTCCACATCTTTTCAGTTTTTGTGGAATAGCAGTAAAAGACAGTTTCAAGCAATTAACACTTGAACTCATGACTTCCATTGAGATCCTTCCCTGTCCTCCATTAGAATGTCTGACCCTCAACTTCTCGAGAGCACCACTCTGCGGCTGCTCGGTCTCACGTTGACTGCTGACCTGAGATGAAACAAATACATTGAGTCAATTGCTTCGTCCACAGCAAGGAAAGTTGGCTCCCTGTGTCGCGCCAGGAAATTTTTATCCCCAGAATCGATCCTCCAGATCTACAAATCAACAATTCGCCCTTGCATGGAGTATTGCTGCCATATATGGTCTGGAGCCCCTTCTGTTTGTCTCGGGGTTCTTGATAGGCTCCAGAGGTGGATATGCAATATAATTGGCAGTGTTCTGGCATCTCATCTACAGTCACTCTCTCACAGACGCATTGTCGCCTCTGTCTTTTTTACAAATACTTTCATGGCAATGGCTCCAAGAAGCTGCATTCGCTGGTTCCCAGACTTCATGAGTTTAAGCACCCTATAAGGCTGGCATCCCGTTCTCACCCTTTCACTGTCAAAACTACTAATTGTAGCCGTCTCTTCTACTCCAATAGCTTCATGTCTCACACCTCTCGCCTGTGGAACTCCCTTCCCTATTCCAGTTTCCCTGAGAGCTATAATCTCCAACTATTCAAATGTAATGTCAATCGACATCTCCAGTTGCCTTGATCTATCCACTATCCTTCTCCTCTATCACTCCTATCTGATCTTGCTCCAAATCTTCTGTAACCCCTTGCATCCTAGTGACTTCCTGCCTTGCTTGGGGTGAAACGCTTAAAAAAAAAAAAAAAAAAAAAAAATTGGATTACAAAAGATAAAATATAGAAGTCACACAAGTCACTCATTGAATTCTCTTTACAAATATCCTTGAGCCAAAGTTTGAACAGCTGCTAAAACTGTTTTTATATTGATTAAGAATATTCTTATAACATTTCACTCCATTTGAGATGAACAAAATAAATTAAAAAGATCAGTAATATTAATTAAGGAATAATGTAAAAAAAAAAAACTAAGTGAAAATAAAAATAAAGAAAACACTAATATGAATAATAAAAAAAAAATATGTAAAGCAACTTAAGTTACCTATAAATTTTTTTAACATGTTTTTTTAATTAATTTTTTTTTTCTTCCATTTAACTTCTGATACATATTTTATCACACATCAGCACGTCCTTATATACTTTTCAATTCAATCAACAAGCACATAAATAATAAATCTTTAGAACATGCCTTTCTATGGCAGCACTGTTACCATTTTTTGCATGAAAAATTTTGCCTTGGGAGGGAGGGGGGGATTAATATTCCAATAACTTATTTATATAGCCATAATCCATTTAATCAATTGGTAATTAATCACTATCCGGTTTATTTTTATTTAGTAAGAGACTTATTTTTTATTGCTGATCCATGCAATTGATTTAAAAGATACAAAGATGAGTAAGAGACAAAAAAAAAGAAAGAAAAAAGACTCATTATAAAGAATAAAAAAATAATGCCTGCATAGTGGAATTCATCCCAATAGCTACACATTAGTTTGATAAAAAAAAAAAAAAAAATTATATGAAAGAAAAGCAATTTTTATTCATTGTAGAAAGAACCTTCACATGTTATTAATAAACATACATTGTACTGACTAAACATCTAAAACACATGGCTTACAGCCACACCAAATCAAAACACCTATTCCCATATGATCACCGAAGTTAAGCAATCTCAAACCTGGTTAGTACCTAGATGGGTGACTGCTTGGATATACCAGGTGCTGTATGCTTGGATGTGTGGGTGGTGTAATGGATAATGGCTTGGAATTATTAATCAAAGAGCCGAGTTTCAATTCTCATTGGGTTTGTTATATTTACTGATGTGCAAATAAACCTTGGGAAAGATATGAATCCACCTCTTCTTCCCCCAGCTAGGGGTTAATTAGTAAAATTTGTATTACTAAATCATTATTATTTCAAAAATAAAAATAATTACAACCTAAAAATATTTTTTTGGCTTTAAATAACCTGCTAAAGGGTTGATAAACTGTAGAAAATGAATCAATCAATCTAAAATGGAATATAAATACACTAAACCTTTCGAAATTGTATGTATAACTATTGAAAAGGGAATGCTGAAAAACTCTTGACCCTATCCACTTCCCTAAATCTGACCAAACACAATTTTTTTTTTTTTTGAATGAGCTTCTTGGTCAGGCAAGAACTTTTCAGCACCCATCTCTCTCTCTGACACACACACACGCAGAGAGAGAGAGAGAGTCCTGGCCAAAAGTTTAAGACCAACTGTCAAAAATTAACATTGAAGGATATTTCATCCTTCACTTTTAGTTAATGCAAGCAAGCTGCAATATTACATCATCCTCAAATGTGAAACAATTCCCACAAAGCAAAGAAAATGCAAGAATGTCTTAACAAGTTTCAAGGTCACTACTAGGGAATAGCCTGGCAGCAAACCTGACTGCAATCCCATAGAAAATCTGTGAGATTACAGAAAGAATAAGGCTGTAAATAAACATACACCCAATGCCAAAACTAATGCTGCTATTATCATGGACATCTGGACCACTGGAATTTAAGCAAAATATCAAGTTTCATAGCCAACATGTCTCATCATACTGAAGTGGTTAATAAGGCAAAAGGCCATCTTACAAAATACAAGTTTATATTGAAATTGATGAAAATAAAACTGCTTTTAATAAATTTCATGTATTGAAGGGAGTATTGCTTTTTGTTTTATGCTATTCAGATTTTTTTTGTTCATTTTATTGAGAAAATGTTGGGTGGTTCTAAACTTTTGGTCAGGATGGTATGTGTGTGTATATATATTTTTTTTTTTAATCAAGTTCATTCCATGCAAGACAGTAAAGCCAATGAGATGCAGAAACATGTGCGAGAAAAAAGAAGAATAATCAGGGGATAGTAGATAGTGATTGACATTGCATTAAAATTTTTGAAGATTAAAGTTGGCTGGAAAGCATGGCGCTAAAATGGAGTTTCACAAATGAGAAGTGTGAGAAAAACTGTCAACAAAAAATTTACAGCTATATCTAGCCAACTCAACTGTAAATTGGTGAGACCTTGTCACCAGTCTAGTACTGCGCTTAAATTCAAAAAGTCTAGGCACCATAGTGAAGAGCTCTACCATGAAAGTATTTATAGAAAAGGCAAAGAGAGGCAGCCTTAAAGTAGTGGATTTTATCAAGGAGCTCTAAATAAATAGCAGGAGCACCAATCAATATATGGCACCAATATTCTAAGCATGGACGAATGGTAGACTTATAGATATGTAAAATACATTCTGGAGAGACAGATTGTCTAGCACAATAGTGAACCAACTTTCTTAGTAGCTGACCTAGAAATGGATTCAATATAGTTTTTCCTCTTCATGTCAGCTAAGAATGTTATCCCAAAAGTTTCAACAAGTCACTATATATATATATATATATATATATATATAAACAAACAAAAATGTAAAAAAATTAATTAAAATATAATTCCAATACATTTGAATTTGTTGAATTTAGTGATCAATATCCTAAAGGCTGAGCCACATATATTACAAGGTTAAGTTTTTTGGTATATTAAAATATGACTCACATGTGTTTAACTAAAAGTATCATGGTGATTGAGTACACAATATAATGTCTGTGCTTTGATAGAACTGATCATTGGACGCTCAAATTTTGTGAATTTATGACTTTACAAAATTCAAAAAAATTCTCACTTGATCGATTTGAACAAAAAATCTAGTGTCGCAGCTTCACATGCTCCAAAACATATATTCAACTGTTAATAAATAGCATAATTTAAAAAAACATCTTTAAGTCTACACATATTTCATCATAGTGCTTGCCTATGTATGGGAAAATTGTGCCCTGAAGATGTCAATTTGAAATTGTTGAAAGTACTTGGCATGTGTTGTCCATCTGACAACAACCTGAATATAAGGATTTTATTATTCAAGAAACTTATAGTAAGTTAATGTCTCAGTAAGTCCTGTTAGTGAAGTGATTTCACCATTAATCACATTAACATTGCTATTTAATTCTTTGTATAATGGTTTCTTTATGACATAAAATATAAGCTTCTCCCTCTCTCATATATATATCTCAAAACTGTAAGTGGAAAGGATAATTAAAGTAGTTTTTTCTAATGTAAAACATTAAAAAGATAGATCTATGAAGAGAGCTGAATGCATTGTATACAGAGCAATATGACATACAAAGGAAAAAAACTTAACACATCTCAAAAAATCTAGTAATAAATTTATTTCAGTGGGTAAGTTTTTAATACCTATCTCATAGACCGAAATGACAACATTACTTTTGTGATCTCAGTCTGATGAGGCAGGTATTACAAACTTACCCACTGAAATAAATTTCTTACAGGATTTTTTGATGTTTTAAGTTTTTTCCTTTGAAGTGTGTATATATATATATATATATATATATATATATATATATATGGTATTGAATCAACATCATCACATGATCAACCTTCCGTCTAACATGGTCACGCCGTCGTCACATGACCATGTTAGACGGAAGGCTGATCATTTTAAAAATTTTCAGTTATCTGTTTTGAATAAGACTTGTGTTTTTATGTCCATCGTATTTGTCATATTGAACTGAATTGTATTTTAATGAATATTGTCTTGAAAAAGGTTTATTAAACCGAAACGTCAGACGTCGACATTTCATTCATTTTAACTACATTTAAGGATTTTTGTTTGTTTTTTTCAGAATTTTCTTCATTCTGTTTATATCCATTTATATCCATTTATATATATATTGCTATATATATATATATATATATATATATATATGATTAATACAAATATAAAATTTGTCACTTAGCTGGTTGATGTTATATTTAGCACCCTGACTCCAGAGTTTTGTGGATGAACATTTTTTTGTAATTGTTTGGTTCATGTGTCAGGAGGTATCAGCAATTGTTTGCCGATTTTCTCATGTTTGTTAGTTTTACATTCAGTTAAAACAAATAATTTATGCACTTTTTATTGGTATTAGGTTGATTGTTTTTCTATTTGTGCGTATGTCTGTACATGTGTGTATACTATCAATGAATGCTCTTTGAACTTTGTCATTTGGCTTTAAAAAAATAAACCTGAAAAATATTAGAAGAATTGTAATTTCCCTAAATCTTATCACTATAAGCAACCTTTACACATCATTTGCATAACACATTTACCCATGTGATTAACACACATACACAGAGTCATTCTAAAAGTAACGCCTGCTATTAAACTGGCCCACAATGTCAGATTGCATGTGGCAGTGGTACAGCAGTAGAGAGCAAACCTTCCCACTAATAAACCATAATTTCTTTTGCCTTGCACCCATACCACTTGAGAATACCAGGTGCTTAAAAGCTTGGATTTGCAGATGGTGTCATGGATAATAGCTCAGAATTGGAGCTAAGACAAATTAGACAGCCAAGTTCTAATTCCAGTTGGGTTCATTCTATTTACTTATGTGCAAATACCCTAGAGAAAAGTATGAATGCACCTCTTTCTCTCCAGCTATGGGTTAATTAGTAGAACTTGTATCAGTAAATCATTAAAAAACTCTTAGAATCTAAAAAAAATATTTCTGGCTTTAAATAACTGGCAAAAGGTTGATAAGCAGTAAAAAGCAAAATTAATATAGATAGCATCTGAGCAGCAGTCTGGCAAAATGGCATCCAACATAATAGGAAAGTACATACAAAGCCAGAGATATGTCACTAAATTCCCACACATAGAAAATAATTGCACCCATTTACGTTCATCAACACTTGAATATTTATGGAAACCAAACAGTTAGATGGTTTGTAAATGCATTTCAGCAATGCATGTAACATGCCACATTTGCTGAAGCCCTTGCACAGCTGTCAACTCAGAAGATGAATATTAACAGACAAAACTCAAACAGTTAATTCAGCACCTGAAAGTGTATACATCATAGAATTCTGCTTATCTCTCAGTTAAGCAGTTAACATGTATTTTACACCATGTCATTACCGCAAATAAAAAATGAACTATTCAGCTTTAATTACAAGGACAGGTTTTCTCAGATACATTGTTTGGGTTTAGAGAAAAAAAAAAGAAAAGGAATATACAGGAGATAATAATGCTCTCAAGTGTTTAATGTCTGCTTCAGTGAAATAGAAAACCATGTCAATTTCTAATCTTTTTATTTATTTAAATAATTGTTATTGCAACATTCGATTACTAAGTTATTAAGCTAAAAAATTTAGAGAAACTTCCACAAGTCGTGGATCTGTTGGGACACCATAGAATTGGACTTAATTTCTGCCCCAAACACAAAGGGTGATCTCCCAAAAATGATTTAAAATAAACCAAAATTTCACTGTTTTGGAAATAAACATTCGATTGACGAATGATTTTTTTATTTCTTTAAGTAAATCATGAACAATTCTTTACTACTGAAATAACATTTAGAATTTGAAATTTGAATTAATAAATAGGTCTCATTTTGTGATAGAATTTTGACTCTTTGAGTGTTTCCTGATATAACATAGTCTTGGGAATTATTGACGATTTCAACAATTAAGAAAACAAGGACCAAAAACCCCAAACTTTCCATTCAAAGAGTGAAACAGCAGCTTGATGTGCTTAGCTTACTCGATCATTTCATTCATTCACTTTTGTTTGTGTGCGATGATTTTTCTTTTTCACTATCCTTGCTAGTTGTCTCTGTCTTGAGATTTTCATGAAATTTACTTTTTAATAACAAAAAAGTAAAAGCTAAATAAAAGAATAAACAAAATGTCAAATTATGAAAATGAATCGTATTTTATTAAAAAAAAAAAAAGAAGTTTCCATCAACTTTTACTATGTTTTTATATTTTTAACTTAAAAAAAAAGAAGGTCCAATCCATATCATCTTGACTTTTTTTTAACGCAAAATCTATGCAACGTCGTGTGGTGGGTAATGTAAGGAGGGGAGGGGGGTAATAGTCAATTAATCAATTATATAATTATTCATTGCTACTACAAGTGTCGAGTTCAGTTCAATCATCGGCAATAATGTGTGATCCAAAGTTTCATATTTGGATCAAACAAAAAAACAAAGCCAAATTATAAATATTATATTTTTAATAAATGTTTCTTTATGTAAAAAAAAAACCAAAAAAAAAAAAACCTGTTTTTTATGTCACAACCACGTAAAGTTTTTTTTTTTTTTTTTTTACTAAACTTCATTCATATTGCCAATAGGGGTTTTTTTTTTACTTTTTTGTGTGCTCTTTTTAATACTTTTAGAAAAACAGAAATTGTAATTAAAGTAAACTTTTAAATAATGTTATTTTTCGAAGTTCTTAAGTTAAAAATTAAAAATTTGAATTTACGAAAAAAAGATAAAGTTCAAGATTTTCTTTGTCACATCAATACTGAAATAAATTCGCTAAATGTTTTCATGCAAATAAAAAAAACTCGTTTAATTTTAAAAAAAGAAAAAAATATGAGTCTTAAAGCGTGTAATGAAGAATAAGAAAAATAAATGACAGTGGAAAAATAGATATTTTTTAAACGAGAAAAAAAAAATGTTTTTTATAATGAATTTTTAAAAACTTCCTTCTCTCATTTTTACTTAAAAGTTATAATTCTGTCTTAGACAAAAATTTTAAAAAATGCTAACAGTTGTAAAAAAAAAAAAGTATATTCTTTATATGAGGCAATCCAAAAAACTTCGATTCGGTAGCATTTTTCTGACAGGAAGTTTTTTTATTGAGGGAAAAACAAACTAAGTTATATTTTTTCTTTACTAGTTCACGAATAAATAAAGAAAGAGTTTTCTTTTTTGAAATTACATCGATTTTTTTAAAAGTTTATTTATGGTTTGGATATAAAGTTTTATCATTTATCTTTCTTTATTGTTCAATTATTACGTGTGTATCAAGTGTGCGGAAATTTGTATTTCGTCCCGTAAACAAAAAACGACGTTTGCTTACTTTTTTTTTTTTTAAGAGTTGCTTAGTTAAACACAAGAAAAAATGAGATAATTTTTAAAGTTTTAAAAAATGTAAGTAAAAATTTATACACTTTTAAATAGAATTAAAGACAAAAAAAAATAAATAACATTTTCTAACTTTTCTTCTCTTGCTTGTGACAAATTTATAAGCTAGTCTAGTTCTAAGTATCATTTCCCCACCTGTAATTAATCCTACGATTTTCCCCCGCTTCTCTGAAGAAAAATGAAAAGAATTTTACGAAGTCACAATGAGATTTTAAAAACGGGGTTTTGATTTAAAAAAAAATAATAAAAAAAGATAAATTTGGATGCAATTTTTTTTAATACATGCAAATTTAAAAAAAAAAAAATAAGGTCAGAGGATGGACAGAAAATAAAAAACCATTATCAAAGTAACTTAAAAAATAAGGGTTAGTAAGTAAATAAGTTTTAAGTTTTTTTCTTTTCTATTAAACCTGCGGCCATTAAAAAGTTGGCGTCGACATTCGAAAAAATATCTTGCAAAGGGTTAAATAAAGTTTAAATAATAAATTAAATATGTAGGAAAAGAAAATAAACTAACAAAAGTTATAATAACTAACCGGTAACGTTTCTTACATATGAAAAAAAATACTTACAAGTTCGAATGCTTCGATAGTATTTTCGGGTGCATCCAGCGCGCCTCCTCGGTGGGCAATAATCATGGGTTTCACATTTTCCTTCTCCTTGGGTAACGTACCCCCGAGTATTGGGGCTGCCAGGTGTCCTGGTAGAGATGGAATATGGTACCACCAAAGTGCACCACAACCGATCATCAACAGAAAGAAGAAAATAGGAAGACCCAGATATGAAAGCAAAGCAAAAAACAACACAACAATAGAATAGTAAGTTAACTGGTTCCACAGGAACATATTTCGTTATCGGGATTTCTTGGAGAAATTATTAAAAGAAAATAACTGATTTTCGCTTTTTTTTTCGGGATATATATAAATATTTATTTCCTGTTTAATTCGCCTCACCCCGTTTTACTTTGACTCAGGCAAGTAATATCATCACACGACTTTTACTAATTTGTGAGGACGAAGTGGGGTTGCCTTCTCTATGCTTTTGTTTTGTTTTTACTTCATGCAAGTGTGGAATATAACAAGTCAGATAGATATCCCCTAAGTTTCCAACCCAGTTCTTAATTTACAAGTGATGAATGGTGATTAATAGGGTGATGAAATAGTTCAACGAAATGTACTTTTTTTTTTTAAACCGGAATCTCTGGCCACATTTTGTAAATTGTAACGCCAACGGTTTGTATATCAAAAACTACACCAACACCACCGCCGCCACCAAAAAGAGTCCCGAAGTTTTCTCTCACCCACCTCTTCTTTTTAACATTGTTTCACTTGAATATTGTACCTTGAACCCAATTTTGTTTCATTTATTTATTTTTTTAACATAGTGTTACTAGGAAAAAAGTAATTTATCATGAAAGACAAGTTGACGAAAGTTCATTGCGACACTTAACAAATCAGCTGTTCTGATAACGCTTTCTTTTTTCTTTTTTTTTTTTTTAAATACTTTTTAAGACCGGTTTGAAAAGTCATCGGGTATGCTATGGTCCTCCAACATACATAGAACTAATAAAATAAATTACTGTTCTATCAATTATAACAATTTATGAATATTTACAAGAGCTGATTATTTTTTTTTATTTATTGAGCACATCAGCTGAACTTTCTCCAACATAAAGACATTCTGCTTACACACAGAAAAAAAAGTATGTACACGTGCTTATTAGACACACATACACTGTCTGTAGTCTGTACACAGGGAGAGTAATCGTACGTTAATATGGATCTCCTAAAAAGAAAAAACAAAACAAAACAAAAACTACATTTTTAAAATAATTTAAATGTTTTCTTTGAAACCAAATTTTATTTTTATTTGAAAAGTTAATCTGTAAATAAAAAAGAAAAATAAATTTATTTACATAGTGTCATGTGCTATCCATTTTTTCGTTATTGCTGCTGAAAATCCTCAAGTGATGTGGTTTCTGTTGGTACTGTTCTTTGTGATTCTGTAGCATCAATCTACAAGGTTCAAAATAAGGATTATCCTTTCCTGAGACTTACTTCACTCGCTCAGAGCCCCTTTTTTAATCATTGATCTGAAAAGCAATTGTAGACAACTGACAGTTTAGAGAAATTTAGATATTTCTTTTAATGACTTAGACACCATGCATGGAATCAACATGAAAATCTACACAAAGCTATTTATGAATGTGACTAGTTCTTAGGTTAATGTTTTGGTTGTCTTTGTTTAGCAGCATATCAACACCTCTATGGGTTATTTAATGCTGAAGTTAATATTTTGATTTTGTAGCAACTTGCAGTGTTGAACAAAGCTACCTCTATTCTACTTTTGGGAGAGCCTCTTGACAAAGCAAAGTTCAAGTACCTATTTGGCCACAGGAAACCATCTCCTGTGGTCAAATTGGTAATAACACACTTCCGCTATAGGAGTGGTTTTCCTGATGGCAAAAGGTTTGATTCTTGATGGGAGGCACATTTTTCTTTAGTAGGACTTCTCGATGTAGGCCATTTCCTATTAATTTCAAAGTTTAAGAAAACAAAAAAAACAGTAACAGCAACTCAAACATATGGACACACTAAAATTAGTGTTTATAGTAATAAGAAATAATGTCAAAGTAAAAATAAAAATACATTTAAAAATATATATATATATATATATATATATATATATATATATATATATACACACACACACACACACACACACAAGGTTAGCCAAAAAGTCCTGACTTACTTAGGAAGCAGAAAGAAAACAACAAAACTTGATCCCTGTCTGATAGAATTTTCAAGGAGGACTGTATTTCGAACTTGTTTCACATGGTCGTGCTGTCAACACTAAACTGTATTGCCAGTAGCTAGACTGTGTGCAACAAACTAAAAAAGGAGTATCCTCCTTTGGTCTATTGAGGTCAGGTTCTGTTTCAGCAGGACAATGCAAGGCCACACACTGCCAGATTGACGAAGGAGAACTTCAAACAGATGGATGGTGTTGAGATTTTTCTACATCCACCATTGAGTCCTGACGCAGCTCCAAATGACTATGGCCTATTCCGCTCAATGGCACACTTCCTCAGTGACCAGCAATTCAACATTTTTGATGAAGTGAAGGAAGCTTTTTTACAGTTTTTTGATTCAAAGCCAGCGGACTGGTATCTGGGACAGATTCAGATGCTGGCTGATTGCTGGCAGATCATTGAGAATGATGGACTTCATTTTAAAGAATAAATGTTAGTGTTGCTCCATAAAATTTTCTTGTTTGGTTGGTTGGTTGTTTGGGGTTTTATGGAATATCAACCACTATGGGTTATTTAATGCCAAATCCAGGTTGCACATATATATTAAATATATATACTTTGTAAACATAATTTGAGGATATTTCAAGAACGTATAGCTGGCAACATTATTTTTCCAAAAACATTATCTGAAGCCTTGCTGTTGGACGTAGTTTATCGCCATACCCAGGACGCGGATGTAGTTTATTGCCATACCCAGTACGTGGATAAGACCTGGAAAAAGCTAGGAGTTCACTATTTGCCCATAGCTGGGACCCTAACAGGTGCTACCACCCCGGATCAGGGTGGACCTGGGAACACCAGCAATTAAGAAGTGGTTTCACGCTCCTCAAAACCTCCTGATAAGAGGCCTTGCTGTTGGATACAGTTTAACGTCATACCCAGGACCAATTTTGTTGTTTTCTTTCTGCTTCCTAAGTGAGTCAGGATTTTCTGGCCAACCTAATATATAAAGTATTTATTTCTTTATTTACAATAGAGAGAAAAACCCACCGTAGAGTTAAATATTAAAATCTTCCATCAGCAAGATTGAGACTTAAGTATCAAAAATGATCTACAATCTGCTGTTAAATGGGGCAAGAAAAGGCTTGTTAATTTGAATGCTTCCAAAATGAAACTTCTCTCTATTAATCATCTGTATCTGTATTAGAAGTATTTACAATACTTCTAATAATCTGAAATTCACATGGTATATTTATCATAAGTATAGCCTGAAAATTTTACCAGCATTGTTTGGTAGTGATTATAATATGAAAATATTGGTTTGCATAATAAAATCTTATATATATTTTTTAATCATTCTACCCCAAATAAGGCAGTAAAGCAACTAAGACACAAGGGGTTAATGAGTGTAAAAGAATAAGAAAAAGAGAAACATTATTAATTATTAGATAACAGTTGACATTGCATTTAAATTTTTGAAGATCAAAGTTTGCTGGAAAGTATGGAGTTGGAACAGAGTTGCAGAAGTGAGAAATACAAGAAAAGAAACTGTTAGCATAGAACTTACAATTACATCTAGCCAACTCAACCGTGAATTGATGAGATTTTGTTGTACTGTGCTTAAATTCATAAAGTTTAGGTACCATAGCAATGAGTTCATCCAAACAATTATTATGAAAGTATTTAAAGAAAAGACACAAGGAAGCTACATTATGGCAGTGAGAAGTAATTGAAGCTGAGGTGCCAAGTCAGGACCAATAACATTGCAGATTCTTTGGATTTTATCAAGAATCTCTAAATATATAATAGGGGCAGCAATATTCAAAACATGGACAAATGGCAGACTTATAAAAATTATCTAGCATGACACAGTGAACCAACTTTTTAGTAGCAAACCTAGCAATTGATTCAATATAGGGTTTCCACTTCATGTCAGCAGAGAATGTTAACCTAAGAAGTGCAACGAGTCACACTCCTTGAGGTAGGCATAAGCCATGCTGATGGAAAGCAGAAAGGAATCCCCAGATGATTAATAAAGAGAAATTTCATTTTGGAGGCATTAAAATTAACAAGCCATTCCTTGCCCCAATTAACAACAGATTGTAGATCATTTTTGATACTTAAGTCTCAATGTTTTTCCTCTATATCAGTGTTTCTCAACTGGTGGGGCCTGAAAGGTAGCCTGGTATGCTCCAAGTTAGCAAAAAGAGTGATCTGTGAATTATTTTTATATTAAAAAAATCTTTATTTTTAAAAAGCTAGCAACACCAAGCACATGGCTTCTATTTCTAATTCAAGTCTTTGTCATTTGATATTTTAAATTGGATGCTAAATTTCTTAATATTTAAGGAGTGGATAATCCTTTCCCTTTTACCTTCCTCAAGAGAATTAAATCAGTAATTATAATTATTGTCTTAGGAGGCATGGTGGAGTAACGGATAGCAACTCGGATTGAGGAATCAGAGAGCTGAGTTCAAATTCCAGTCAAATCTATTACATTCACTTATGTCTTTGGGAAAGGTATGAATCCTCTTCTCCCCCCAGCTATGGGTAAATAGCAGGACAGACTGGGTTCTATACCCTTGGATGGCAACTGGTCTACCACAGAAAGAAATGGCAACTTACTGCAGAAAAAAGTATGCCTTGTCAGTCATGTATCAAGATATACATGATTACCTATGCATGTATCACACATGGCATATAACTGAAGCCAAACCGGCAGCTGCTCTCAAGAACTACCACCTCCAATCAGTTGTTACCTGGGGCAAGAAATGGCTTGTAAATTTTAACACCTTTAAAATGAAACTGCTAACCATTTTTGCTCTCTATCAGCATGGTTGATGATCATCAAATCCAGAAGAGCAACTCATTGCACTTTCTTGGTCTCACATTTTCTACTGACTTGAAGTGGAGCAATTATATTGAATAAGTTACTAGGTCTGCTGCTAAGAAGGTTGGTTCAGCGTTATGCTAGACAATTTTTCTTATTGGAATCCATCTTTTATACATTTATAAATCTACTGTTCGTTCATAAATTGTATATTGCTGCCCTATCTAGTCTGGATTTCCAGTTATATATCTGAAGATTTACAA